TGGTTATGGTCGTATGGATTTCCCAGAAACTGAGGCACGAGTTCAGGCACGTTGCTGAGGGTCATGCATCTAGTGAGCAGTCGGACTCTGCAGCCCAACCTCTCCACCGCATGGTTCTGTTGCCTCTCATATGTTTGGAGAAGTCTCAGCGGTCCCTCAGCTAGAACCTGCAACCCCCCAAAAGCCATCCCTTTCCCAATTTGCATCTTTGATCTGCGGAGGAGGAGGGCTATGTGGAGGGAGGGCTCTGGGGCGAAATGGACAGCCTCAAGGTAAACAGGCAGAAAAACCTAGGAAGAGCAGAGAGCCTGGTGGGCAGAGAAAATACAGGAACTGCTCAGCAGTGACAACTGGCCCGTTCCAAGCCCAGGCCCTGCTATTGAAGTATGGTAGCTACCATCTATAGTTTAACTTTAACCCTCCTGTTTGGCTTATGTACCTATTTGCTTTGTTTAACAATGGATAGGTTATTTTGATTTTCTGAATTATATAAATCATCCCATTGGATTAAATGCCTTATTGATGGTAATGTGAATATCCCATGGGTTGGGCTCATACTGGTCTTAGAGAGCACATTCTTCTGTACCTGGAAACAGGACAGCACAATTACCCTAAATTGTTTTAGTGGCCACAGGTGGTGCATTCCAGCTGACTTAGTGGTCCCGAGACCAGGACAGCACAATTACTCTAAATTGTCCTGACAACTCAGTGGTCGGGAGACCAGAGGGCTCTAGATAATGTATTTCTGTCAATTCAGTGACCCCAAGACCCGAAGCTGTAATTAACATGCTTAATTCTGCTTCTGTAATCTGCTTTTTTGCGAGCCAGGTGCCTCATTCCAAACCCTGGGATGTAATCAATACCTTTGTGATTTTTGCCTATATAAGTCTGGTTTTGCCACCATCTTATGGCTATGAGATTTGGGAATGGCCCCTCATAGTCCCGGATTGCAATAAATGTGACTCTTTAATTCAACTTCTTGAGGTGTCCTTCTGTGATTCGCGGGGTACATTACAACACTATAAACATGCACACCACCCCAACAGGAGCTGTGCCACCACCAGCCCCACCCCCACCCCACCGTGCCCCATGACCTTTAAGATGAAGGTCTAGAGCATTTTCCTTTGCGAGTTGCACTCTTTTTTCTTTTTGCCCAAGAAACTATTCTCCTCTTATTCTTCAAGTGATTAGATGAGAAAGATAAACGCCTCATGCATATAAAGTTTCCTCCTGCAGGAGGTGAGCGGATGGGAGAGCCACTGTCATGTCATGATGAGTCACTGCCTGGATTTGGAACAAACACCTACAAAGATACACAGGGCGTAGACTCAGTAAGTAACCAGTTAACTGGCACTTCTGACGCCAATTACTGCCCCTGATGCGTTTTCCTAATTTTTTTTTCCCCTCTTCATTTTTCACAGCTTTGGAGCTGTCTAAGTTAGCAGCCTGCTCATTCTCTCCATTAAAATGCAGAGCTCCGCTTCCTCATCTACCTTCAGAGTCTTGGGAGCCAGACTCAGTACAGAAGGGGGAAGTGAGGGCAGGGCTAAAGAGGATCATATAAAAAATAAATGAACCCTTCATAAAAATGAATATTATTACCAAAGGGAGCCGCCTGCCAGCATCGCCACGTATATATTAACTCAGCTGCCGAGCTCTGTAACAACACGGAATTAAGCCCATGCGTCATCTTTTCAGTGGTTGCTCCCTTGATTTACTCTTAACTTTAAACAACCAATTGTGAAACGAGCGCTTCTCTTTGCCATAATGATGATGAGGCTTCGCCCGGTACTATTTTTTATCGTGTGAGCTTGAAAATAGGAAAAATAAATTTAGCGGTGCTTAGTACACTCTACGGCTCTCCAAAAGAACCAGACATTTGGGTGGGTGGAGGAGGTGGGGTGGGGGGAACTGTTGAACTCAACTAGCTTCATGAAGTCATTTGCACAAATTCTAAAAACTGACTTCAGTCTCCTTTAACTTAGCATATCTTTCCCCGAGGATTCCAAATGCCAAAAAGCTGGGCCTTTTTGCTGTCTGCATGAGCAACTGCAGATGGCCTCTTTTTCTTCACACTGAAAGGCATGCCTATCGATGCCCGTCTTTTCCTCGGAGGCCCACAGCCTGCCGAGGGGACAGTCTAAAACAGTGGTTCTCAACCTTCCTAATGCCGTGACCCTTTAATACAGTTCCTCATGTTGTGGTGACCCCCAATTTCATTTTTTACAAATTGAACATAATTAAAGCATAGTGATTAATCATAAAAACAATATGTAATTATATATGTGTTTTCCGATGGTCTTAGGCGACCCCTGTGAAAGGGTCATTCGACCCCCAAAGGAGTCGCGACCCACAGGTTGAGAACCGCTGGAAGAAGCCCAAAGAGCCTTCCTGGTGACAGCATGGACCCAAGACCACCTGAGCTCCCTTGGCTTATGTCTTGCTGGGCATTTTGCTGGGTCGCATGTGTCCTTTTTAAAAAATATATATATATATATTTTTTTTATTGATTTTTTACAGAGAGGAAGGGAGAGAGACAGAGAGTCAGAAACATCGATGAGAGAAACATTGATCAGTCGCCTCTTGCACACCTCCCACTGGGGATGTGCCCGCAATCAAGGTACATGCCCTTGACTGGAGTCGAACCTGAGACCTTTCAGTCCCAGGCTGACGCTCTATCCACTGAGCCAAACCAGTTAGGGCCACATGTGTCCTTTTGTCCTTTGCTTCTCGCAGTTGCTGTGCTCTGGCCCCTCGTGGAAGTTGTGACTCTGCAGACAAGCGACTGACTCCCACACTCGGCTTGTGGCATCAGTGTCATTACTTCGCAGCCACACCTTGTAAATCTCTCCAGGCTACAAGCTTGTGTCTGTCCCCCGTGGTTCCGAGAACAATCTGCAGCCTGCGCTGACAGGAAGGGCCATTATGGTCGCGATGTTCTCACCATCTGGAATGGTTACAGTGTCAGGATCTGAGATGACTCACTGTGCTGAGCAATCATTTCTCTGATGGCAGCACTAATCAGGGGGGATGAGGCCGTTGCTAAGAGCCGCTGCTTGAAGAATACCCAGCCAGATGAGAGGAAGGGCGTTGATTTGCTCTGACCCATTTGAAAATAAAGTGGCCTGGAATGCCGTCTTTGGTTCTACAGGCCATCCTTTAGGCCCCTTGGGCCAGCCGTGAGGAGTGTGGCTGTTTCTATGGGCAGAGGGCCTGCCCCGGGTTCTCTGTCCTTCTCTGTGGCCAGCTGTGGCCTGAGGAGACTGAGCAATGCCCTGATTGAGGCTTAGCAGTTTGGTGTGGAAAGGGGCAGTACAAACATGTGAATACAGTATTTTATGCAGCCCCTCCCTCCAGCGTTTGTCCTGGTGCTATTCTGCACAAACCCTAACCTGGCCACAGGCACCCCAGCCCACAGCCGGTCCCAGTGGAAATTCCCATTGGCAGCTGAAGGATCTGAGAAACCACTGGGCTCAGCCTGAACCCTAACTGTTGCCTCCAGAAGGGACCCTGAAGACACCTTGAGTTTAGACTTCCAGCATCCAGAACTGGGAGAGAATAAATTTCGTTTGTTTTGTGCCACTCAATTGGTGGTAATTTGTTATGGCAGCCTTAGGAAATGAAATTCATGGGAGACCAGCTGACCTTGTGCGTCACAAGAACAAACCCCAGACAAGAGCCAAACAGACTCCCCTTATGACTAAAAGTTTCCATCAGCTCCTCGGTGAGTTGCTGCACCCAACATAGCCTTCGAGTCTGTGCTCCAGGTCACTGCATCATAAAACAGAACGGTTACATTCCATGCGGGGTTGCTTCATTTGATTCCACTCCTTTTGTTACCATCAAGGGGTCCCAAGTCCAAGCTGAACGCTTACCCCTGCCCTTCACCATGTGGTGGCCACATCGTCCTTTTCTCTGGTCCTCTTGCCAGCCTTCTTCTTCTCCGTGGCCTTGCCTTATGCAGCTGCTCACCCACTTCACCAGTGGTCCCAAGACTCTTGTAAGGAAATCCAATAGCATCCTCCATCTTAAGATGAAAGCTAGCACTCATGTAGCATTGACGTATTACCAAATGAACTCATTTACTCCTCACAACCACTTGCTAATATCCCCCTTTCGTAGGCAATAACATTGAGGCCCCAAGAGGCTAACTTGCCCAAGATCAGCAACCAATAAGTGACAGGACTGAGACAGAAAGCCACAAAGTCTGGCTCAAGACAAACTGCTTTGCATAACGACTATGCAAATTGCCTCCAAAGTCGGCCACAGAGGGAAAAGCACCAATGGGGCTGGCAGCCCGGTGCCCTCTGCTTCCCAGTGTTCACCATCCCTTTGGGACGCTCCCACCTGAGACTGCAGCTCCCCGCATAACACACTGGCCCAGACAAAGACTCTCATTCCTCACAGCACAACCATGCCCGGGCTGAAATCCGTAAAGCAATCCTAGAGGAAAACTGGAGAGTGGCCACATGCTGGCACACCCGCCTTGCTCCCAGGCTGTCTCCAAGACGGAGGCCATCTGATTCTCTCCCCCTCAGGAAGAGGGTCAGAAAATGTCTAAATTTTGGCCCAAGGGCAGGAGGAGAACATGAGGAGAAGGGGTTGCCCTTCCTGTCTGCCTGCCTGGTCTTCCCACTTTCCTACTGATGTCCAGCCTCCTTCCTTGGGAGTGACCACACATAAACTAACTAACTCTCTCTCTCTCTCTCTCTCTCTCTTTCTCTCTCTCCCCCCCCCCCCCCCCCTGGGAAAACTCCCTCTGTCCACAGGGATGTGGTCTTACCCTGTGATCTCAACAAGACCCCTTCATCCTAATACAACACAGTAAGCCTGGTATCACACCCTGAGACCTGCAGGTCCAGGAGCAGAAAGAGGGAGTGTCCCCCATATCCTCTCTACGATGGAATGGGGAGTTTCTGGCTCATTCTTATCTCTGTTAGCCATGTACTCACTGCTGAAATCCAAAAGACATTTCATTAAAGAAGGGAGTGAGACAACAGGAACTGAATTTGCTGAGGAGTATGGGGAACGTTTGTTTCTTGTTTTGCACATTCACTGCGATGTGAAGCTGTTGTGGCCACAGTGGTATCTAATTAGCCCACAACACTTAGAAAATGAACCTGACAACAAGACTGCTGTGAAAGTTAACACCTGGCTTCCAGGAAGCTGTCCTGAGCCCATACGCTTTATTTTATCTCTTCCCTCCTGCACCAAACTGGCTTCTGATTTCTGCCTGTGCCAAGGACTCTTACCGTTAACTCAGGCGAGGGCTTGGGGTGTTAGAAAACTATTTCAAATTCAGTGCCATTTCAGTGCTGGTCAAAGGCTGTGCACACTGAAGAAGTGAAAGTATGGGTTTTGCTTAGGGGACACTGCGCGGTACACGTTCTTAAACCACTGCCTGACGAAAGAGGTTAGTGTCGTCGTCCCCCACCCCCCGCCCCCCGCCCAGTTTAACCCTATTTCTGATTTTGAAGTAAACACAGTTTATGTTATGTGCTGAAAATGAAGTTATCTATTTTTTTGAACCACTTCTGGTTCAAAAAAGCAAGCTATTATAGTGATTATGGTAGTGTTTTAGGGTCAAGCTCTTCCAAAGACAAATAAGATGTTCCCAAATGGTATTATGTTGAAATATTAAATATTAAAAGCTCACATTTACCAAGAGTTCAAAGTCTGGGCTATTATGAAAGTCTGGGCTATTATAGGGCAGCCTCCAGCAGAATCTAGAGAGATGCTTAGACAATGAAGGTTATTGATTGTCTCCGTTAAGGAGCAGGGAGAAAACAGTGATTCAACTGATCTTAAAGGTGAGGGGGCAGAAGAGGTTGTGGGTAAGTTTGGAAAAATTCACCAGCTCCCAGAAGGGGTACTGTTGAGCCCTGTGAAGCATTTGCATCTGGCATGTGAGCCGTCCAGGCTAAACGCAGAGCCACGCCGTGTTTCTGGTGGCTGACCTGACCCGAGAGCCACAGCGAGCCACACAGGGGCTTCGCCGGCATGTTTAACACCTCCTTGTACTTAGCTTCCACCCAGCTCATCTAAGGTTGGAGGCATTTCATATTTTTTGCAATTTTTTAAAAACCTTAGTGCTGAAAGGTTTCACTAACCACAGGGCAACCACACTCCTGTTCAGTCACCAGTGATGGTGAAAGTCTAGTATTTACAGCATCCGTTCCTATTTGCTTGCCTTTTCTCTCTTTTTGTTTTTGTCTTGTTTCACTGCTAATTAAATTCCTCTTAACCAATGGTTCTCAACCTTGGCTGCACATTAGAATCACCTGGGAATCTTTTTAAAATCCTGATTTCTGGGCCTCACCCTCCGGAAATTCTGTTTCTTTGTTACTAATGTTGTGGCCTCACCCCATAACAAACAGAATTTCCGGAGGATGGGGCCCAGAAATCAGGATTTTAAAAAGATTCCCAGGTGATTCTAATGTGCAGCCACGGTTGAGAACCACTGCTCTTAAGCCTCTGAATGGCTTCGTTTTGGTCTATCTACTAAGCCAGTAGTCGGCAAACTCATTAGTCAACAGAGCCAAATATCAACAGTACAATGATTGAAATTTCTTTTGAGAGTCAAATTTTTTAAACTTAAACTATATAGGTAGGTAGATTGTTATTAACTTAATTAGGGGACTCCTAAATCTTAGGAAGAGCCACACTCAAGGGACCAAAGAGCCGCATGTGGCTTCGCGAGCCGCAGTTTGCTGACCACGGTACTAAGCTAAGAACCTGTAGGCTTGGATTTGAAGCTTAATCCGCTATTAAATAGTGGTTTGAATGTAGAGGTGTCATTTAAACTTCTCTGCACCTCATTTTCTCACTTGTAATATGGAATTCATGGACCAAAGAATTTTTAATTTGATGAGATCTTAGATGCTTTGTAGTATAGCAAAACATTTTTTTCGCTTTCTCTTTTTTTTTTTTTTTTTTGCAGATGAAGAAGTTGAAGATCACAGAAGTTAAATGAATTGCCAGAAACCACCACCGGACAGGATTGACAATAAAAATGAGGTAATAAGCAAAGGATATTATAAAAACTCATTTAATACTCTGAATGCATCGTTGCCTTTGGCAAAATACTGAGGTAGATAAAGCCTGTTTTCCTATCTTCCCTTTCAGCTCCCTACTTATCTCTGAGAACCATTTAAATTTGTAGCCATTGTTTGCCAGGAGGGACTGGTAATGCAATCATAGCCTGTCTGCTGTGACTCTTGACACCACACGTAAGGACAGCTGTATTTGTAGACCCCAGGAAGTGAACCAGCGGAAGTATTGTTAATGAAGCAACTTTCACGAAGATGAAGCTTGCATGCTGGCAGCTTCTCCGTCTTGGCCTTTTATTACTTCTTACAGAATCTTGAACATAAAAGATTAGTGCGCAATAAGACAGTGCCTGGAGAGAAACGGACAATATATTGGCAGCTTAGAAGACAATTTCTGGGTAGGAAAACAATTCTCTGTTCTTCCTTCCCAAAAGTTTGCTCATTTGGGAGCCAACCCCGTATGAAACAAAGTTAATTGAGAAAGTTCATGTGAATGAAATGTTATTAATTTTCACATACCATCACTTCAACGTATGTTGGCTATTTTAGTTCAAAAATGTTGGCGTAATCTCTTAAAGCAGACTTAGAACTACACCTTGGTTCAAGGCTGCGAACAAGAGTTCCAGGGCCAGGGGTTCTACAGCATTAGAACCCCCGGGGGAACGTCTTTAAATGGAAAACTTTCCAGGTCATCACACTAGATATTTTGAATCAACTGAAGTGGCATGGAGCCTGGGTACCTGTATTATTTTAAGTTTCCAGATGCTTGTCAGTCTCTACTGATGTGGTGCCTGGGTGATGTGCCTGGGCACTCCCTGAGAGGTGGCCTGTTGTTTCAAGCCTCAGGTGGAGGTAGTTTACAGCAAAAGTTCAGTGAAAGTCAGAATCCCAGCAAGGAGTAGATTGCAGCCCCAAACTGGGGAGTTCAAAGAAAGGCAGTAAAGAGAAGGACTACAAAGGCACGGGTAAGTTGTAGGGAAACCCACAAGAGATGGTACAATGCCCCAAGACTAGCAACAGGAGGGAGCTACTCACCCACTAAGCCTAGGGACCAAGGAAAGGGAGTGGTTATGGGAACAAACAGAGGCGGGGGCAATATGAAAAGCGCCACCTGACAGGATTTATGGCCTTGAAAAAGGATGTAGTCATTGTACAGCAATGTTCAGAGCAGCATAATTCACAACAAACAAAAGGTGGAAACAAGCCAAATGCCTATTCCTTTTTAAGGAATGAAATTCTGATACATGCTACAACATGGATGAACCTTAAAAACACTTCTTTTTAATCCTCACCTGAGGATATGTTTTTATTGATTTTTAGAGGGAGAGGAAGGGGGGGCGGGAGAGAGAAAGAGAAACGTCGATATGAGAGAAAAACATCCATCAGTTGCCTCCCACATGTGCCTGGACTAGGGATGGTACCTGAAACCTAGGTATGTGTCCTGACCAGGAATCAAGCCCGAAACCTTTTGGTGCATAGGATGATGCTCCAACTACTGAGCACGCAGCCAGGCAACTTGAAAACATTTTGCTAAGTGAAATAAGCAGACAAATATTATGTGATTGCTGTCATAAGAGGTACCTGGAATGGGCATAATTCATAAATACAGAAAGGAGAATAGAGGTTAACGCGGGGGCTATACGTGGAGTAACAAAGAGCGATTGTTTAACGGATATGGAATTTCTGTTAAGGATGATGAAGTTCTTGAAATAGGTAGTCGTGATGGCTGCACACTGTAAATGTCCTTAACATGACTGAATTGTACACCTAAAACTGGTTGAAATAGTAAATGTTATATTACATATACAATATCACAATTTTTAAAAGGCAGATTAAAAAAAGGAAAAAAAAATGAAGATAAGAAAAAGAGTGCAGTTCACCCACAGCAGTTCTTCAGGGAGCAGCCTGGGGGATAAAGATCCAACGCCTTTGTCTTCCTCCCTCCAATGGTGGCCAGAGTCTGTCATGGGTTGAACCTACAGGAAGGCACAGAGCGAGGGAGCCCATCGATGTGCTTCATGAAGACCAGCCTTGCAGGGCACAGAACAGGGCAGAGAAGATCTGAAGGGACCAAAGGAAGCTGGACGGCGTGGGTCCTGTCATTCAATCATCTGTTCTCTGAGGGAAGCGCCAAACCCACAGTCACACCAACAACAAAAAAGGGCGTGGCGTGAGAAAAGCTGGTGGCGGGTGTTTATTCCTTACCCAGAAACAGCCATGCACGACCGGTTAAACACAGCAGTATATTTTCCAGGCAACCTAGAAAATCCTTGTTGAAATGCCATGATGTTCACTTATATCTTTTGATCTAGGAATCCTACTTCTAGGAATCTACCTTAAGGAAATAATGAGAAATGCAGACTAACAATCGCATCCAAGGAGATTCACTGAAGCGTTCTTCATCCTCACAAAAAGAGAAGCAACTGAATGTGCTGCATGCACAATGCCTTGAGCGAGAAGCAGGCTGCAAGCAAAAGTACGTGGAATGCCACTTGTGTAAGAGGCTGCAGAGCACACTGGAACATTAGAGTGGCTATCTTTAAATGATTGAATTAAAAAATGATTTATTTTTCTTTTTCAGGCTTGGTTATTTTTCAACATGCCTGTATTGAACATGATTTACTTTAAAAATCCAGAAAAAAACAATTCATGGTATTTTTTTAAAAACCTCATGTCTGCCTCACATAATAAATACCCCCAACATAGAGGCCCGAAGAATCTTCTCTGTCGTTCTATAGAAAAGGCATTGATTGCCTGCTGGCTGCCATTAATTTGGAGGGAAGCGGGGGGGGCGGGCGGGGGGGGGGGGGGCGGGAGGGCAGCCACCTCCTCTGAAATAGCGTGTGTGGCTGAGAGTGCAGCTTCCTTTGAAAGAATATTGCTAAACGCTGAAATTCTATCTCCTGCAAGAAATGATTTCTGCTGGCTGTGCAAACGTCAGGCTGGAGCCTGCCCTTGGAGAGGCGGCTGCATCTCTATGCATTTGTAAAATCAGCAGAGCCTATGCATGAACAGTCACAGTGGTTGCTTTTACAAGCTACTCATGACAGGCATCTGCACAAGGGAAACCATAGCTCGGAGTGGATTTAACCTATTGTGATTCGTTCTAATTTCACATTTTGCCATTGTGAAAGGGTGTTGTTTTACCCACGTGAAAATGCTCTTTGTGTAAAATGAGTTCATAGACAAAAGAAATAACAACGCATTAACCTAAACTTGGTACAATCTGGCCTACCTGTGACACCTTGTTTAACCACTCCTCACCCTTGCACCACTCACACTCTGGGCAGCCAGCGACCCGCTCATCAGGAATACCAGGTGTGTGCAGGAAGGTGTGTTTCCAGAAGGAACTGAGCGTTGCTTGGGAATGACAGCTTTGGACGGCCCACTCCTTGGATGTTCAGCACAATTCTCCCCAAGGCTTCAGGAGTCTTCCCCAGGAGAAGCGGACACCTGCCCAGGCCAGAGACCCTGCTGGGCCTGCTCCGTGCTGGGTCTCTCTGCTGAAGACTGCCTATTAGTGACAAGGGCCACGCCAGTCTTGGATGACACAGAAGCACCTGTCTGCTGCTGGCTTGACATCATGTCATTGCATAACGTCAGCAGATGGTAGGAATTTTTAACCCACACAGACTGTGCTTCCTTCAAACTGAAACTTGGTATCATTTCCTCTTCAGATCATCAGCTGGAGTTGTGATTTTTTTTTTCCCAGGGAAATTAGTTTTGCCATTAGTGAAATCAATACGATGTTACCAAAAAAATCATAATGAGAGTGCTTAAAATTCCTAAACAGCCCTGGTCAGGGTGGCTCAGTTGGTTGGGCATTGTCCCATGTACCAAAAGTTTGCTGGTTTAAGTCCCAGTCAGGGCACATGCCTGGGTTCGATGTCACTCTCACATCCATGTTCCTCTCTATCTCCCTCTCCCTTCTTCTCTTAAAAAAAATCAATAAAAAAAATCTTTTTAAAAATTAGGATACAAATATGAACCATGGAGAGAAGCCATTCTTCACCAATTAGGTTAGGCACAACAACAACAACAACAACAAAAAAACTTGTGAAGCCTTTCAACACATTGCTAGGATCACATCCCCAACGATTCTGACCTAGTAGGTCTTGGGTGGAGACTGCACATCTCTATACAGAAAATGTTCCACTTATGAGCAATTGCATCAGAAAAATTACTGGGTAAAAAGAGACCAATTCTAATGGCACTTGCTGTTAGTAAGTATATTTTTTCTTTTACACTTGGTTGCATTCAGACAAGGAGATATTTACCCATTGTGTATTCTTGTCCCAGATTACTGACTTAAGATTTGAGTGAGATCAAAGAAGAGAGGCACCTTAACATAAAGCAGAAGGATTATCCTCCTGTCTTTCACAACCGAGTGGCTCACTTTCCCCACAATTTCCAAGTTATACCTGAGAGCTTCCTGGTCTGAAGCCAGACTGAGAGGGAATGCATATTTCCTAATGACTAATCTGACATTATTTCTAGAGAGAAATTAAGTGAGAGCATATATAACGTGGCCAAGTGTACAAAAGGTGAAGGCAGGCATATCTGAAGATGCCCAAAGATTCAGAACGTAATACTGTGGTTGCATTTGACTCTAAATTCCCATAGAGGAAGATGGAGTTTTCCCCATCAGTATTGGCAAAAAAACTTCATTCTTTCTTCTTCTTCCTCCATGACCTCCACCTCCTCCTTCTTCTTTTTCCCCTACATAATAGAAATTATAGAAATTATCTATAGAAATGATCAAAACAAGCATCAGACAAGGCCAGAAAGGGAGGCAAGGTGGCCTAGGTTTTTTATGCGTGTGACCAGAGTTCTTAAAAAGCTGTTAAACTGTCATGCCAGGTAGTCAGCATTCAGTGAACACAAAGGAAAGTGTTGCAATCAAAGAATCATTTCTTTATTAGCTTAAAAATACAGAGTGCTAATTGTATGTTACTATTACTTCATGGCCAATTATGCCATCGGTCTGGTTTAAGCCTTCAGAATAGGCCTTGATAGCGCCCGCACGAAGGGAAGGACACAGATTCACTTTCAAGGGAAGGACACAGATTCGTTTTCAAGTGGCAATGCTTTCAAAAACAATGACGCTTTGTGGGCTCTCTGCAAATACAAAGTGATCCATGCAGAAGAAGTCGGGGATTGATTTATACTCCCAGAAAAAAAGATATTACCACCCTGAATGAATCCTTCAAAACGTCTCAGGTGGTTTAGGATCTCTGTCCCCTAGCTTATGAGGGGTCAGCTAGAAGGACGAACTTCCAAGCACTATCTGGCATGAAATAATAGTAACAGCTGGACAAGAAAGGTCCTTGGAGAGGAGACTAGTTGAGACGAATTGGTGAGCAGAGCCCCCCTGCAGCCCTGATTTGGAGGACGCCCCTGAAGGCATGCCACTGTTATCTGGGAGTCTGTGCTTGAAGCTCTGCAGCATCTG